GCTGTATAGAGAAGTTGTGATGAAGTGCTGGGTTGGCTGAGACCACGATCAGTTCTGTCTTAGCAAGGTTGAGTTGAAGGTGATGGTCCTTCATCCAGCTAGAAATGTCTCTCAGACAGGCTGCAATGCGACCAGCTACTGTCAGATCGTCTGGTTGGAATGGGAAGTAGAGTTGAGTGTCATCAGCATAGCAGTGATAAGAAAAGCCATGCTTCTGAATGACAGATCCTAATGATGACATGTAGATGGAGAAGAGAAGTGGTCCAAGCACTGAGCCTTGAGGAACCCCAGTAGCAAGAAGTTGTGACTTAGAAACCTCACCCCTCCAAGACACCCTGAAGGACCTACCTGAGAGGTAAGACTTGAACCACAGGAGTGCGGTTCCTTAGATGCCCATCTTTCTGAGGGTGGACAGGAGGATCTGGTGATTAACTGTGTCAAAAGCAGCAGACAGATCCAGCAAGATGAGTACTGAGGATTTGGAAGCTGCTCTTGCCAGTCTCAGGGCTTCAGTAACCGAGAGCAGGGCAGTCTCAGTTGAGTGGCCGCTTTTGAAGCCAGATTGGTTGCTGTCCAGGAGGTTAAATCCAGTGAGATTTATGTTTGCACAAGGAGTCTGACAACAGCCAGTGCTCCACACAGAGATCTGATCTCATCATCATCCAGTCTGTCTGGAATGACATGAAGAAACAGAACAAACTGAGACAGACTCAATCCAGAAGAACTGTGGCAACGTCTCCAAGATGCTTCAAGAGACCTACCTGCAAAGCTACAGTAGTACTGTTAAAAGTTTTAGGCACTTGTGTAAAAATGCTGTAAGATGAGGATGCTGTCAAAAATAATGTCATAAATAGATTTTCTTTATCAATTAACTTCTATTAAGTAAATTAAATCAACATTTGGTGTGACCATCCTTTGTGTTTAAAACAGCTTTTGCTCTAGGTGCGCTTGCGCATAGTTTCTCAGGTAGCTTTGCAGGTTGGTGACGTTTGATTTAGTCAGTCTCAGTTTGTCAGTTTGTAAATGTAAACTGATATTTCCTACTGGCACACTACAGCAAAAGATAGAAATAACTGACTTAAAACCATTGTTTAGCTGGTGAAAATACTAGTGTTCTAAAAATCTTGGCCACCACTGTATATATACTGTGTGTGTATATATATATATATATATAGATAGATAGATAGATAGATAGATGTATATGTATGTATGTATGTATGTATGTATGTATGTATATAACATAAATATATAACATATCTAAATATTCAAAATAATACAAGCAAGAAATGCATAGTATAAAACATCTAAATATACAAAATAATACAAACATACAGGTTTTTCAATGTATGCATTTTTAATTTTCAATTAAAATATACGTAAATATACTACAATATTTATTTTGTAAAAAGAAAACTACTTAGAATTCAAAATTTCTAAATTATTTATGTACATCATTTTTACTATAACCTGCTGCGTAGTTTATTTGATCGCAACAGTGTACTGTTTATCAACATCACGTGTGTGGTGTGATGACGCCACAGCGAAGATGGCGGATTCGCTGTGTGGCGGTGGGGTGTCAGACGAAAAAGATCCCGAAAATGACGATCAAAAAGGGGTAAAATGTCCCTGGGCTGCTGCAACCATATCGAGGAAGACAGACGTCTTTGGGTCGGCGGCGAAAATGACGGAAACTCTCGGATGTTATGAGAAGCCCGCCGTTCAAGACGAGCAGCACGAGCATTCAGGTGAGCGCGAGCATCTGACAACTGACCTTCGCCTTTGCTTCCAACGTGGCTTCAAGTTTCCCTGGATTTACGAATGCATGTACCAGTCTCTTTAATGTGGCCACATCTGAATTGTATAAAATGTTGTTTTGGCTAATATTCTGATAGCGTTCTTGCTAA